ATGGGTGGGGCTCGTAGACAGAATAAATAGAAGGAAAAATCTGGGAAGAGAGGATCAAGGAGCAAGAAAAGAAGGAAAGAGGACACCAGGGGCCAGCCACCCAGCCACCCAGCCACCCAGCCACCCAGCCACCCAGCCACCCAGCCACAGAGTAACAGTGAAAGTAAGATATGCAGAAGTAAGGAAAGGAAACGTCCAGAGGCAAAAAGTAGACTGGGCGTTTAATAAGTAATAATAAGCCTCCGTGTGATTTATTTGGGAGCTGGGTAGTGGGCCCCCAAAAAGCCAAAGAGTAAAAAGTAAATCCAACCAGCTCCACCAGACAAAACAAACAACAACAAAAGCCCCACACCCAAACCAAGGTAGAAGAGGAGTGACACTGGAGGTTGACCTCTGGACTCCATACATGCTTGTGACATGCACGCGTGCACATGGACAGTCCGGCGTGATGGTATACTGTTTGTCTCTAAGCACCTGGGAATTGAAAAGAAGAGGACCAGGAATTCAGGGCCATCCTGATGACCTGAGCTAGATCCCCTGAACACTTGGCATTGTGTTCACCCTCTGAGTCCTGGAAAGCAGTTCATGAGAGTTGGTTCTCTCCATTCTCCATTTGGTCATCAGGCTTGGCAACAAACACATTTACCCAATGAGTCATCTCACCGATCTCATAAGTATGTGTATTTCAAGTGTTACTGTTATTTTTCCTTTATGAAAATAACACATTACACATTCATATGTGATTTTTTTTCCACAAAAAGTATATGGCACAGTACTGGGGGGGTGTGGCTTGGTGGTAGCACGCTTGCTCAGCATGTGGGAGAACCTGGGCTGAACCCCAAACTCTGAGAAAAAAGTGGAGGGGGAGACATTGCAATAAGCAAGTTTGGAGCCAACCTGAGCTACATAGTGAGACCCTGTCTCAAAAACAAAGAAATAGAAATATGTTCATTTGAACCATTTCTGAAAGGGGCCCTTTTTGTTAAGACAGTAGTTCAGGTTAGCCTTGAACCCTCAACCATCTTCCTGTCTCAGCCTCCCAAGGGTTGAAGTTACAAGTGCAATCTACCAGACCACATAATTGCTAGCATCTTCTCTTTTGAACAGTATTCCAAAACGATACTTGTCTCTGTTGCTCATAATAGGGACTGGGTTATGATTCATTTGTCCAGGCCTTTATTGAGAAACAAATATCACATTTTCAATTGCTTTACTACAAATAATAGTTCAAGGATATCCTTTTGTGTGGATTCTCATGTTTTGCTTGCATGCATGTGGGAGTACCACATGCATGCCTGGTGCCCAAGGAAATCAGTAGAGGAAGTTGGATTCAAGCCAGCTAGGATTATATTAGCAACACCTAGCCTCAAAACAAAACACACAGAGAGAGAAATATCTAAAATTTAAATTCATTAATGTAACTCAACTTAATAGAGATTCAGCAATTTCCTCTCCTGGGGACACAGAACTAATGAGCAAGAAGCAAGCTTCAGCTACAGCCAAACATTCATATTTAAGCCATTAATCCAAAAGAAATCATGGATATTTTTAACCCCAAAATAAATGTGTCTTTATGAGAGTTTCTGAATCTTATAGCTATTCAGACAGTGTAATCCTTCAACCAGCTTTCTGTCAAGCAGAGAGAACAATCGCTAACTGTTTGAACTAATCTGACCAGAAAAGGTTACAGTGGTTTCTAACTGTGTTGGATTAAGCACATGATTAAAAATAAAACCTAAAGAATATCCTGATGATAAGTTTTAGAGAGTGTTCATATAATAGACAACTTCTGTTTGGGACCCAGATGCCAAGACATTTGCCACCATAATTCTAACTTTAAGTTTACAGGTTTAGTAACTCAAAAGTGCCTTCCAAAAGGACTGGGCAGGATTGCTGTCTTTAGCATTGTTTGTAAGAAACGGAAAGCGATCTAAATTCCCGTTGCTCAGAAGAGGGCCTGGGGGGCATCCAAAACATGGAATGTTGTGTTGCTCACTGTTTAATGTGAGTGTGTATGCACACTCACACATGTGTGGGCAGGTGCTGTGTGCCTGTGGAGGTCAGCAGGTGACAGTCAAGGTCCTAGTTTCCTGTCTGTTGCTGTGAGAAAATAAAATACCTTGACGAGATGTAACTTAAAGGAGAAACTTATCTCCCCAGAGTTTAGTTTAGCTCACAATTCCATGTTCTAGTCCATCTCAGCAGGGCGTCGAGGGGTGGGGGACCTAAAACATCTGGTGATGTGGAATCCACCGGGAGAGTAGAGGAAGCTGCATGCATGGATGCTTACTGCTCAGCTACCTTGGTCTAACTCGGTATCGAGGGCTCATAGCCCCGAATGATGTAGTCCACACTAAGGTGGGATCCTCCCACAAACACGCCCACAGACCAGCCTGGTCTAGACATCCCGCAGGGAGACTTCCTCCCCACGTGATCCTAGGCTGTGTCCTGATGGCAGTGAAAGCTGCCAACACAACATATGTCTTCCTCAGTTTCTCTCCACCTTAGTTGTTGAGACAGGGTCTCCTCCTGAACCTGACACTTTTGTCTGGTGAACCCCGAGGCTCCTCTTGTCTCCACCTGAGCAGGGCTTGAAGTTCTGGCGCGCCCTTTAAGGGGCTGGGCATTAAGATCGGGTCTTCGTGCTTTCCTGGCAAGCGTTGTGCAGATTAAGCGATGCCTACAGCTTTGTTGTCGCTGTTCTGAGACAGGACCACGTGTAGCACAGGCTAGCTTCGAACTTAAGGATGGCCTTAAGCTTCTATTCCTGCCTACAATCTCCCAAAGGCTGGATTTATACTTCCAATTTTAATATTTTTTAATTTTTATTTTATGTACATTGGTGTTTCGCCTGCATGTATGTCTGTGTGAGGATGTCAGATCCTGTGGAACTGAAGTTACAGACAGTTGTGAGCTGCCTTGTAGGTGCTGGGAATTGAACCTGGGTCCTCTGGAAGAACAACCAATGCTCTTAACTGCTGAGCCGCCTCTCCAGTCCGTGTGTGTGTGTGTGTGTGTGTGTGTGTGTGTGTGTGTGTGTGTGTGTGTTGCATATGTAGCTTCAAGTAGAACCCAGAAGTGTCAGCAGATACCCTGGAGCTGGGGTGGTTGTGAGCTGCCCAGTGTGGGTGTTGGGAATCAAATTTAAAAAAAAAAATTGGGTTGGGGAGGTGAGTCATGAGTAAGAAAGTGTACTGTATACATGTGGGTACCTGAAGTTGAATTCCTGGCACCCACATAAGAAAAGTGAAGTATAACCACATAACCTCAGCATTGTGGGACAGAGAAAAGCAGATCCCAACAGCTACCTGGCCAGTCAGCCTAGCCAAAATAATAAGCTTATAGTTCAGTGAGAAACTGTCTCAAAGCACCAAGGCAAAGAGCAATAGGGAAAGTATCCAGATATATACCTCTGGCCTCCACATTGTGTGCCTATGAACATGTACATATTCATACACACACAGACACACAGACACAGACACACACACACACACACACACACAGATGGGGGGTAACTATGAATTAAAATGTAAATCACATTAAAAAAAAACTTCAGTATTTAACTGACACCTGTACCTAGCCAAGCCATGCTAACACATCACATAGCTCATTCTCCATGATTCAAAGTTCCATTGTTCATGGATCCAAGGGGACTTTTTGTATTTCCTGTTTCCCCTAGAAGACATGTATAGATTGTCCAGAATACCTCCTCCTCTGCCTAGCACATCTAGTGGTTCCAGGTGGCTAGTCCTGTCTCAGAATCTTCTTTTTCACTTGGTTTGTCTGAGAGTGATGGGAAGCAGTTCTTACTTCCGGGGAAGGAGAAATTTAGTGAATCTGGTCAGTTTCAAGGATGCCCCTGAAGTTATTTAGAGTTTAGTTCCTGTCTTAATGTGTTTCCCTGTAGGGTAAAGTGTTTCACCTCCCTGTAACCACCTTGTTTAAAATATCCTATTGTTTCACCTCCCTTTTTATATAGCCTTTGCCTTTAAGGAATTTCCCTCCAAAATGGAAGGCTTTAACTAGGAGGAAATTGCTACACTGTAGGCCATCACTTGGTGTCCTGCTTTGTCACTCACGGTCTTTACACCTCTCTCGCTGAACATGGAGCTTGTCATTTTCCAGTTAGGCTGGCTGGCCAACAAGCCCCAGAAATCCTCTTATCAACCTCCCATCCCAGTGCAGAGGTAACAGGCATACATGACCTCACCCAGCTTTTATGTAGGTGCTGAGAATTCAGATTCAGGTCCTCACAAGAGTGCAACAAATGCTCTTGTTCTTTTTTGAAACATGTCTCCAGCCTTCATTCATTTATCTAATGCCCATTTTTATTATAAGTATCCATGATGGGTGTTGGTGGCTCAGGCCTTTAATCACAGCTCTCGGGAGGCAGAGACAGGCAGTTCTCTGTGAGTTCGAGGCCAGCCTGGTCTACAGAGCGAGTTCCAGGACAGAGAAACCCTGTCTCGAAAAACCAAAAAGAAAAAAAAAAAAAGAAAAGAAAAGAAAGAAAGAAAGAAAAAAAAGGGATCCACATAATTCATGTAGCATACCAGAGGATCAGCACTGAGATAAAAACAACAAAAGCATGCTACTTCTATGTCGTGCACTGAAAAAAAGAAAAGGGTATGGTGGTGTATACATTTAATCCCAGCACTCAGGAGGCAGAGACAGGCAAATCTCTGTGAGTGTGAGGCTAGCCTGGTCTACAAAGTGAGTTCCAGAACAGCTAGGGCTACCCAGTGAAAGCCTGTCTTGGGGTTGGGGGAAGAAACTTCAATAACACAATGTCAATCTTGTTGAGAAACTTTAACACAAAGTTACTCTTTCCAAGAATGCAGGTGATACTCTACACTTCTGGTTAGAAGGCTAAGGATAGTAAAACTTACAGCTCTGAAGGGGATGGCTTCCCCAAGGCAAGTGTTGCAGCTCTGAAAGGGATAGGTATCTTGGCAGTCCAGAGTCAAGGAATACCACAAAGTCACACAGCACAACAAACCTCACAAAATACATTTATTGGGGAAAACACAGGAAAGTAGCTGCCTCTGCTCTGGCAAGATTCTGCAGGGAAACTGAGTGAGAGGCAGGCTTATATATGACTTCTTGGGGGTGGAATTTTCCAGGGTGGGGATTGGTGAGATTTCAAGTCCTGAGCTTGGGTGAACACAGGGATTGGTGGGTTTTCAAGCCCAGGGATTGAGCTCAGGCTTTTAACCCTACAAGTAGTGGCTGTGAGGGTTCACTGGGGTGCTTTGATTCTCAAGGCTGTATAAGGATTTAACCACAGATACATCAAGCAAGAAAGCAAAGGCCTCCACGTAGAAGACATACTAGTCATTTGTATCACGTTCCTAGGAAGACTGTAATAGGCAAGACATGATTATGGTGGCACACACTAGCAGGATGTGCTGAAGGCGTGAAGGGGGATCATGCATTCAGGGGGATCATGCATTCAGGACTCCCCTGGGCTCCACTCTGTCGACAGGCAGGGCACATCCTTGGAACTCACATAAAGGTGGAAGGAGAGATTTGATTCCACAAAGTTGTCCTCCACACAAGTGGTCAATGGCGTGTGCACCCACATGAACACACAGTGACAAAACTTTTTAAAGAAAAAAATATCAAAAATTTGAACCAGTGAGATGTCTCAGTGGATTAAGTAAAGGTACATGTTACTAAGCCTGGACACTTATAGTGGAAGGAGATAACTCACACCTGCAAGATGGCCTCTGATCTACACACACACACACACACACACACACACACACACACACACACACACACAGTTTAGCACATGAGTGCCCCTACATATGAAGGAACACAAATAAATATAAATAAATATGATTGTTTAAAAATTTTAAGTATAGGAATGGTGGGTGGTGCATACCTTTAACATCAGCATTCTGAAGGCAGAGGCAAGCAGATCTCTGTAAGTTCCATGCTAACATGATCTACATATTAAGTTCCAAACTAGCCAGGAATACATCGTGAGATCCTTCCTAAAACAGAGAAACAATTCCTAGGAAGGAGCTCAAGCAAAACCATGTATGCAGGCGACATGGGGCAATGGTTCAACAGTTTAGAGCATTTGCTGCATGATCACAAGGACTGGAGTTTGGATCCCAGGACTCACATAGCAAGTGGTAACTCCAGATCTAAGAGACCCATGCATGCAAAGGCACATATACCACCCCCCCTACATGCACACATACACATGCACGTACACACACACACACACACACACACACACACACACGAATAAATAAAATGTTAGAGTGTAACTCAACCTTAAAATTTTCTTTTAAATCACATACACAGATTCAAGGGGCCTAGCTTAGAAGTTTACTCCTGCAATCCAAGAGCTAGGTGTAGACAGATAATTTGTTTAGTCCCAAATAAAAACACAGAGGCATATATTAATTATAAACTGTTTGGCTGATGGCTCAGGCTTCTTATTGGTCAGCTCTCTCTTAATTATTAACCATTTCTATTAATCTGTATATCTCCATGTGGTCTTGGCTTACCTGTGATGCTTAGGTCTCTTGCTTCCTTGGCAGCTACTTGGTATCTCCCTGACTCTACCTACTACCGTTCTTTATCCCTCTTTGGATTTCCCGTCTGACTAAATCCTGCCTCTCCATTGGCTGAAACAGCTTTATTTATCAACCAATAAGAGAAACATATATTCACAGCATACAAAAGGAGACGCCATGTAACTGCCAAGGAAGCAAGAGGCCCCGGGTATCACTGGTAAGTTAAGACACGTGGAGATACACAGATGAATAGATAACGGGCTAATAATTAAGAGAGAGCTAGCAAATAAGAAGCCTGAGCCAATGGCCAAACAGTTTATAATTAATACAAGCTTCTGTGTGTTTATTTGGGACTAAATGGCTGCAGGACTAGGCAGGACAGAAACTTCCATCTACAGCTAGGGGAGGAAAAGCAGAAGAATTTCTGTAAAATCTGAGACCAGCCTGGGGTACACCCACAGAATCAATATCAAACTGTCAAAGTCAGTTGCAAAAATTGTGAACTCACCAAGACGCTGGCTGACCGGCATCCTGAAAGTATTACCTGTGAGTGCAATTCCAGTTCATGGAGATACGCTAACCAATGAGTTAATTTCAGGACTGTGGCACTGTGCATGCTTCTCTGAGAGAGATCCATTAGAGTCTGTGACAGAAGGTCTTCTTGCCAAGTTCAGAAATGTCCAACGGCAGCATCCTCCAGCAACACACCTCATCTGAGGGGATGCTCTTCTCCACCTCTTCATTCCCATGCTCCTGCCGAACCCTGGGAGCCAGTACCACACTGCCACAACCCGTGTGAACTCTGCCTGGCAAGGCCTCCACAGTTGTCTTGAGGGTTGTTATTCCTGTGCCTGCGAGCCCCACACACTGCCGTGGGGTTACAGATGTGCCTAGCTTTTTAAGCAGGTGCTTGAGATTCAAACTCTGGTCTCCACAATTGTACAGCTTTCCCACGGAAACATCTTCCCAGCTCCCAGGGCAGTTGATTCTTGAGCCTTGTGAATTCGAATTCAATCCATCCACCCCCACTCTTCTGTCCTTGAGGGTAACTCAAGACAACATAAAAGAAAATTTAAAATGAGGGCTGTGTGTTTACTTATCTGGACCTAGCACTTGCTCATTGAAAGTGAATTCTTGTGATTGCTCTGTGGTCCATGAAGAGCCAAACTGTCCCACAGTTAAACAAACAACAAAAACTCCAGCAAGTTTCCTTCTCCCTAATATCTAAAAAGGCAACACATGAAAAGACGCCCCCCATAATTAAACCCCTGTCCAAGCTGGAATAGATTATAAGGCTTCCCCCAACCCTGCTAACCCCTGCTAAGGCCCTAGCAGGATCCCACTGCCCTTGCCAAGGTCCTCCAAGGTCTTTTCCCCAGGCCACAGCTGTCACAAGCTGACAGCACCATCATAAAAACCTACCTGGCCCAAGATAAGCCTATACAAACTGCCAGCCTGAGATAAATACCCCTCACATGAAAGGGAAGGCACCAGGACCAAGGCCAATTTCTGGCCTCTCCAGAACCCTTGGTCTCTCTGTGTTTATCCTCTTGCTTCTCCCTAATTGTGTTTATTTCTTACTTATCAATTTTCTGACCAATGCACCAAACACTGGAACGCTGACAGGGTGCCCAGGGAACTAATTACACCCCTCCTCAGAGTTCTAAACAAAGCCAAACAAGACAGAGGAATGGAAGGAGACGCCAGAACACTGTTTATCCCTGACAGGGCTGGGTTGCAGTTTGATGTGAGAATCAGAAGTTTCCCAACATCGTACTGATAAGTAAGACTCAGTGGTCTGAAGCCCTATTGGGGAAGAGCCCCAAATCTGCCAATTAAGCCACCGGTCCAAGGGCAAAGTTAGGAAAGGCTTCCACTAACATAACACAAACTCACTTTACCTAGGACGGTCTCTTGGTTTGTTTTGATTTGTTTTGTTTTTTGAGACAAGGACTAGTGTAGATCACAGTCTGGCCTTAAACTTGTTTGTAGCTGAGAGTGGCCTTGAACTTCTGATCCTCCTGCCTCCACCTCCTGAGTGCGGAGACCACAGCTTGGAGCCACTGCATGGTGTATGGGGTTTCTCTCGACCAATCCCAGGGCTTACTGCTTGCAAGGCAAGTCCTCTAGTAGGGGAGCCATGTCCCCAGCTTTGGTTCGGTTTCGCCTTTATATTACTGTGCTGGATGTGTGGATGTGTGTGTAGACACTAACGTGCCATGGCACATGTGTGGAGGTCAGAGGTCAGCTTTGTGCAGTGGGTGCTCTCCTCCACCTTTCCCGGGGCTCTGGGGCTAGAATGCAGGTCATGAGGGTCACTCCACCAGGACTTTACCCACTGAGCAGTCTGCTTGGCCTTTGGTTGGTATTTTGGGTTTTGCTGTTTGAAACAGGGTCTTACTGTGTCCTGAGGCTGGTCTAGAATTATATATAGGCTGGACTGATTGTTCTATCTCTCGCTGAAAAACAGTTTTTTTTTAATATCCCATGCCCCTCCATGGCTATCAAACCCTGCGTATTCTAAATAAACATTTTACCACTGAGGTATAGCACCACCACACAGAAGGCGTTTTACTTATAATAGATGCGTTTGTATTATCTCACTATAGTTAAATCTGTTTTAACCAGCCAGACATGGCTGCAGTGGCCTGTAATCTCGGAAAGAGCAGGATGGACAGGAGAAGCATGGAGAGGGAAAAAGAGAAGGAAAGGTTTGCTTGAGGCCACCCTGGGCTCCACAGTGAGACACTATCTCAATCCATCAATTCTTCCTCAACCAGTCAATTAGTTAGAAGAGAATTTCCTGAACGATCATGGAGCGGCCAGCTGTACCCAGGCAGGCATTGAACTCGTGGTAATCCTCCTGCCCCAGCCTCCTGAGTTCTGAGATTGCAGGTGTGCACCAACCAAAAAAAAAAAAAAAAAAAAAAAACGGTGTAGCTAGCTCATCCCTGTTTCCTCCTCTAACCCATCACTTCATCCCCTTCTCAAGCTTCCTGTACCTTTCCCTTCTAAGCACCACCCTCTTTCTGTGTTGGGAAGAGCCTTTTGGACTCCTCTCAGCATTTTATTTCTCCTCACTGCCAATGACCCTGCCTAATGTAACAAAGGTGCTCTAGCGAGCACATGGTGCAAAGCTCCAACTCTTCTTATAGACAAGAGGAGGTGTTGGCAGTGCACGGTTTTAATGCATGTCTCCTCCGTCACGCAGGCATAACATGAAATTCCAAGCAGGCCACATCCCAGTGGGGAAGAAAAGGCAATGCCAGCCAGGGCCACTCAGGAACAGGATCTAGGCAAACACAAGTTTGTCGTGATAACAGTAGAGAGGTACCAGAAATGGGAACCTTGAGTTGAGGCAGGCATTGCCTAAAACCAGATTCCCAGCTTGGCCAGGTTGACTCTGCTGGCTGTAGCTGGGGAGGGATCTCCAGAGTTGCTGGGCGTGGCACAAGGTGAAGAGTGAGGAGGACAGGCAGTCCATAAATACACAAGCAAGCATGGATCCCACTGATGGTGACAGACTCTGGAAAGGACAAGAGAGACAGCACCACTAATCAACCCACCAAGCCAGAGCTGAAGAGTCAGGAATCTAAACAGCTCCCAACTCTTGACACGTTTCATTCACATTTAAGAATATCATCAGCCCTCTCCATCTGTAAAATCCACAAGTGTGGGGTTCAGCCAACTGTTGGTGGGAAACATTTGAAAATATCTGCATCTGCACTGAACTGCATAGATTTTAATTCTTGTTAAATCCAGTGTAGGATGACTGAATAGCATTTACATTATGGTATTACACAAACATAAACACGTAAGTAAGATAAAAATGCATCTTTAAAAAAACACAAACAAAGGACTGGAGAGATGACTCAGCGCTTAAGAGCACTGACTGTTCTTCCAGAGGACCTGAGTTCAATTCCCAGCACCCACGTGGCAGTTTGCAACTGTCTGTAACTCCAGTTCCAGGGGATCTGATACCTTCACACCAAAGCACATAAAAATACATAAAAAATCCGGGCGTTGGTGGCGCACACCTTTAATCCCAGCTCTCAGGAGGAAGAGACAGGTGGATCTCTGTGAATTCAAGACCTGTTCTACAGAGCGAGTTCCAGGACAGCCTCCAAAACAATACAGAGAAACCCTGTCTCGAAAAACCAAAAATAAAATAAAATAATTAAAAACAATAAACAAGCTTCTTACTCTTTTTCAGGAAACACCAGACTACAGATGACAGGTGCAGAGGGAGGGTCTGGAGGACACGGGGTAGGGGGGTGGGGAAACACGGACTAGGAGGCCAAACAAGAGTTAGGGGCTGTGGTGTGGTTGAAGCCTCGGCGTTCCTGGGGGTAAAGCCCAAGACAAGGAGTGGATCTCCATCACCAAGCTGGGCCTCCTTGTTAAAGACAAGAAGATCAAGTCCCTGGAGGAAATCTACCTGTTCTCCCTGTCCACTAAGGAATTCAAGATTATTAGAGGTTTTTTTTTCTGAGCGCATCCCTAAAGGAGATTTAAAGATCATGCCAGTGCAGAAGCAGACTCTTGGCCAGTGGACTAACCAGGTTCAAGGTTTTTGTAGCTATTGGGAATTACAATGGACGTGTTGGTCTTGGTGTTAAGTGCTCCAAGGAGACAGCCACTGCCATCTGAGGGGCCATCATCTTGGCCGAGCTTTCCATTGTCCCTGTATGGAGAGGCTATGGGGGAACAGGGCTGGCAAGACTCACACCGTTCCATACAAAGTGACTCTGTGTTGGTGCGTCTCATCCCTGCCCCCAGCGGCACTGGCATTTTCTCTGCCCAGGAGCCACTGATGACGGCTACACATCAGTCAGGAGCTGCACTGCCACCCTGGGCAACTTTGTCAAGGCCACCTTTGATCCATCTCTAAGACCTAGAGCTACCTGACAGCCCCCCCCCCACACCAATCTCTGGAAAGAGACTGTGTTCACCAAGTCTCCTTATCTGGGATTCAAAGGCCACCTTGTGAAAACCCACACCCGTGTCTCTGTTCAGGGAACCCAGGCTCCACATAAAGGTTTTTATACAAGTAAAGTGAATTTAGCCTGTTAACACACACACACACACACACACACACACACACACACACACACACACACACACGGTTTTCTATTAGCTTCCTGAGTGTTTGTCTGTGTGGTTTTTTGCTTTTTTTCACCTCTTGTCGTAGAAGTCAAACCAAGGTTCTGGATAATTCTGCCAGCGCAAGTGTCTTAGGTTTCCATTGCAGTAGTTGAACGCCATGACCCAAAGCAACGCAGAGAGTTGAGGGTTTGTTTCAGCTCACAGTCCCACATCACAGTCGTCATCAAAGGAAGTCAGGGCAGGGGTCTGGAATCGGGAGCTGAAGCAGAAGCCGTGGAGGATGCTGCTTACTGGCTTGCTCCCCATGGCTTGCTCAGCCTGCTTTCTTATAGAACCGAGGACCCCCAGCCCAGGGGTGGTACCATCCACAGTGTCTGGACCCCTTCCACATCAATCATTAATCAGGAAAACGCACCATGGCTTGCCTACCGGCTTTAGCAGATTCACATGATCTGGGCCTCTTTGCCTTAGAGAAAGGCGATGTTTGAGAAACACCAACACCAATGTTGACTCAGAGCTTGAAAGGGGCAAGTCTTATTTGAGAAATCCACACCCTGGTTCTTGGTTGTGTTTCACTTTGTTCCTGCACACCTTCCTTCCTCCTACTCTTGGGTTCCAATTCCACATTAAAATCTTCTAAGAAACTCCCAACCCTGCTCTAAAAACCTCTAAAAAAAAAAAACCCAAAAACATTCAGACCAAAATTCTGTGAGCCCAGCATGCTTCTCTTACAGCAAAATGTCCTTCATCCTTTGAGAAGGGAGTTTCCAAGCCGGGGGTCACAGAAGCTTGCTCCTTCCTCCCTTCCTAAGGAAAATGACAACCACCATTTTTCTTCTCCTCACAGTCACCTTGTAAAGGGATGTCATTTTTATCAGCCTCAGGAGAGACTGGGACACAGAGATAAAGATGTGCCCTGTAGTCATTTAAACATGGCAGGGCTGTGAGTTTATTGTTTTTCATTATGTTTATTATTACTGTTGCTGTGTGTGTGTGTGTGTGTGTGTGTGTGTGTGTGTGTGTGTGTGTGCACATGTGTAGTTCTCTCCCTCCACCACAGGGGTTCCAAGGACTGAACTCAGGTTATTAGCTTTAGCTGCAACCACCTCTACCAACTGAGCCTCTCATCAGTCCTCTGTTTCATCTGCTTTTGTTTTTGTGGGGGGGGGTTGTGTGTGTGTGGTTTGTCGTTTGTTTGATTTATTGCTGTGTGACATTCAGAAACAGGCCCTGCATGGCGCAGAGCCCTGTCCATTCAGTAAGAGACAGTGTAAGGAGTGGACCCTCCACACTGCGTGCTCGATGAGCTACGGCGCTTGGGGCTTGTGCAGCACTGCCCCCTCTCTGGACAGATGGTGCTGGTATGGAACGTTTGTTTCTATGGAAACAATTATTGGGCTGGAGTTCAGTTAGTAGAGTGTCACCCAGCATGCACAAAGCCCTTGGTCTGATAAACTGGGCACACTTAGAAGGCGGAGGGAGGGGGATCAGAAATTAAAGGTTCTCCTCCATGCACAATGAATTTCAGACTGGCCTGGACTGTGTGAGACCCTGTCTCAACAACAAAGAGGCTATAAAAGATATCAGTGTATCATTTTTCAATAAAATGGCAGGGCATTGCTGGCCAGAAATATTTAATCACCATAAGGCCTTTCAGTTTGGCAGCGTGAAAGGATAAATGTGGGATCGAGTGTCACCCAGAGACAGTCGGCCTTGTTCTCCTCCAGATTATTTATAAGAGTGACAAGTCCGCCTCTGAGCCACTCGGGAGTCACAAACGGGAGTCAGCAGGACCTGAAACTGCCCTCGTTCAGTCCTCGCTGTGACCCTGAGCCACAGCTCTGAAACCGTTTCCTTGTCGATGTGGCTGCTTCCCAGAATCTTCATCAGGGTTAGGATAGGGATCAGCAGCAGCTTAACTGCCTGCCTACAGCACCTCGTAGGTGGCGGCTACTGTTATCATTGGACTGGAGAAGAGAACGTGTGTGTAGCGGATTGCGTGCTCCAGTATACTTCTCCTGTGTGCAGATCTTAGCAAAGTGCAACCCAGGAACTCCAGAAGCATCATTTGAACACGAATATCTGAAACCCAGCATGGTGACACAAGCTTTGTAAACCTAGCTGATGCAGGAAGATCACCAAGAGTTATGGGCTACATAGTAAGTAGCAGGCTAACCAGCACTTCATAGTAAGACTGAATTTTAAAAAAAAAAGGAGGAGGAGGGGAGGAATGGAGGGAAGAAGGGAGGGAAGGACAGAAGGATGGAAGAGAACAAAAACAAGCAACAGCCATACCAAAAAAAAAAAAAGGAAAAGAAAGAAAAAAAGAAAATTTACCTTGAATAAATTGAAAGGTTAACTCATGTTACTATAAAATCCTTTAGTGTAGAAGTCTGCAACTGAATATGCAGTAGCATTTGAATTCTTGCATGTCATTTTAATGAAACCAAGGCAAAGGATGAGGAGACATGATTAATTAAAAAGATATTTCAGGTAGCATCTGTCTTTCCCTAAGCGACAAGAAAGGCTGAAGGGTAGTGCTTCAACAGACTTGAAATTTGAAGGTGGACTGAAGCTTCAAATTACTTGTCCATGTCAAGTTTGAGAGGAACTTTAGGGTCCCAACTCATATTTTTAAAAGACTCATGTATTTATTTTATTCACATGGGCGCTTTGTCTGCATGCGTATCCGTGCATCATGTTTGTGCCTGGTGCCCAGGGAGGCCAGGAGAGCTCTGAACTGGAGTTGGCTGGAAGCTGCCTGGGGGCTGGGAATCAAAGCTGGGTCTTCTGGAAGAGCAGCCTGTGCTCTTGGCTTCTGACTCATCTCTCCAGCCCCCAACTCAGGTTCTAAGAAAACAAAAAGATGGACTAGTAAGCTACCACATTTAGTTCACAATGTCCTGGCGTTAAGATTTATGTTTTTCATTTAATCTATTAGTAGCAGTAGTAGTAATAGTTGGTGGTGGTGTGCATGCGTGTGTGTGAGTGTGCACGAGAGAGAGAGAGAGAGAGAGAGAGAGAGAGAGAGAGAAGGAGAGAGAGAGGAGAGAGGAGGAGAGAGAAAGAGATGATGTGTGTACCTCCAGACGTGTGGGTACCAAAGGTACCAGTGAGGAAGGCGGAGATGGTCCTCAGGAGTCAGCTCCAGGGATCAAACACAGGTTGTCAAGCTTCATTGGAACCATTTTAGCCTGATGAGCCATTTCGCTGGCCCTGGATTTAGGTTTCTTACTGTTAGGACACAACAGAAAAAGGTGGTAAAATTACACCCTCTGTGTTGCTTTACTGTGTGTGCTGTGGAACTGAACTTTTTTTTTTTTTTTTTTTTTTTTTGTATCTCTTGAGAGCAGGGCCTAACACTGCCCTGGAACTCACCATGTCACCCTTGCTGACTTTAAACTCTTAGCCATCTTCCAGTCTCAACCTCCCAAGTGCTAGGTTCAGAGAATGAGCTAGAACCAGAGCATGGTCATGTTTTTACAGTCCATGTAAACAGTAAACGTCCAACGTAAAACGTCCTTCTTCACCTCACAATGGTGAGTTCACCATGAAGAGACAGCCGTTCTCAGTGTGATCAAATGTGCCTTAAAGCTAGTAAAATCCATGCCTCCCCCCTTTTAGAAATCCGTAGCATATGAATTCACTTTATAAATTACATCAGGGTATAGGTTTTGGACATTATTTACCGTTGCTACCCAGTTAAAAGCAATCTTCACTAGACTTCGAATGTATCTTCTTAGACAATCGCATGTAACAAAACTTCCTTTCCCTAGAGCTGCCTCCAGGGAGTCGGCTTGACTTTCCTGTAACGCCGATACCCCTTTCCTGTAACGCTGATGCCCCTTTCCTGTAACGCCGATGCCCCTTTCCTGCTCCGTCCTTCATCTGCTGCTTCTTTGGGCACAAAGAGCACCCATCTACTCAATGGCCCAGCTTTGAGGACAGTCGACAATAGCAGCAGACTTCAAATTACTCCATCAATAGACATTTAAAGAGCCACTGTGTAACAGTACTTCAGCGGAGGTGTCCTGGGGGAAAGGGAAATCGGTAACCCTTGGGAGGCGTATTCTCACTGTGTGCCCCACCTGCCAAGCCATCTTTACGTCCGGGCGCTCTCCAGGATGCTTCACTCCCCCAAATCCACCCTTGCAGAGCCACCAAATGGGCAGAATCCCGTCCCAAGCTCAAGTCCGTCAAGGACTTCCCTATCAGTTAAGATTTGCATTTGGCAGCTAGTAACAGAGCCCAGAAACAGTAGTGGCGTAAACCAGATAAAAGTTTATTTTTCTTTTCTGTAAAAGAATTCTGGAGATAAGAGATGCAGGGCTGGTAGGGCCTCGCCTATATAGCTCCTGTATCTCCTCCACAATGAGCCTTCTATCCTTACAGACAAAGACGCCTCCTCAGGTTGCTTCTGCCGCCTTCTCCATCTTGTGGACAGCAGCAGGAGACAGATGGGCCCAAGGCAAGCTTCTTTTGTGACCACCTCAGGGCTCACTATGGTCCAGCATACATTGTGAGCAGCCCCTAAGTAACCAAAAATGAAAAGTTTTTTCCCATTTATTATTTGCATATGTGTGTGGGTGCAGGCGTGCCAAGGCATGTGTGTGGAGGTCAGAGGGAAACCTACAAGACTCAGTTCCCCTTCTACCACGTAGGTCCTGAGAACTGAACCCCATCCATCTTGCTGAGCTATCTCATCTGCCCCAAAATATAATTGTGTGGCAACAACAGAGGGAGACATTTATCACTCATAAACTCCAGCAAACATCAACAGTGTAGCCCAGCATGGTACCCTAACCCTGCAATCCCAGACCCCTGCAAGCAGATGTAGAAAAAGAGTATGATTTCAAGCAGTCTACATAGAGAGTTCCAGGCCACCCTAAGCTACATAGCAAGACCCTGTCGCAAAACAACAATGAAGCTGGGAGAGTTGGCACCAACCTGTTAGCCTAGCACTTTAGAGGTGGAAGCAGGAGGATCAGGAGTTCAAGGTCATCCTTGGCTACATGAGTTTAAGGCCAGCCTGGACCATATGAGATCCTGTTCATAAACAAATAAATGGTATACAAACAGTATTGAAATATTGAAAACTGCAGGATGTAGTTTGAAACTCTTACAAGGACGCTTTGTTTTTATAAAACTGTATAATTATGGGCTGGTTATATAGGTGATCAGTACCAAATGTTTACCTAGTTTGTGTAAGGCCCAAAGTCTGATCCCCAGCATGGAGGGGAGGATAATAAAGTAAAATGTAAAATGTGGCTCACTATAGTATCTGAAATCCCTAGAATTAAATATTTCACCTGTTGGATTAAGAGATTGTACCTGCAGTAAAATGTACCATATTACACCAAGAAAGTAAGGACAGGTACAGTAAGAGGCAACTTTTGATACGTTCAAAGTTAAGGTAAACCCACAAAACTTTTACTTTGCAGTGTGTGTGTGTGTGTGTGTGTGTGTGTGTGTGTGTGTGTGTGTGTTGTCTTCCTCAGTCATGCCCACCTTACATTTGTATATATTTCTAAACTGCGCTCATGACTACTGTAATAGTAATGTGCATGATGTGTGTGAGCTCCACGGCACTCCTGTGAAACCCAAAGGAGATCTTCATGGAATTCTCCCCTTGCACATGTATGTGGGATTCTCCCCTTGCACATGTATGTGGGATTCTCCCCTTGCACATGTATGTGGGATTCTCCCCTTGCACATGTATGTGGGATTCTCCCCTTGCACATGTATGTGGGATTCTCCCCTTGCACATGTATGTGGGATTCTCCCCTTGCACATGTATGTGGGATTCTCCCCTTGCACATGTATGTGGGATTCTCCCCTTGCACATGTATGTGGGATTCTCTCCTTACACATGTATGTGGGATTCTCCCCTTGCACATGTATGTGGGATTCTCTCCTTGCACATGTATGTGGGTTCCCAGGACTGAACTCCAGCCAGCAAGCTTACTCAGCAAGCTTCTCTACCTACTGAGCCATCTTGCCAGCCCTCCATCTTAGTTTTTGAGACAGTCTCTCTGAACCTGGAGCCCACCGATTCTGTTAGGCTGGCAAGCCAGTAAATTCTAGAGATCTGCCTGTTTCTGCCTCCCTAGCAGGGGAATTTCAGGCGCATGCCAGGGAGCCCAGTTTTTCACTTGAGTGTTGGGAATCCAAATTCCAGCGTTTGTGCTTATGGGACAGCTGTTTTACTCACTGAGCCATTTCCCAGCCCTTTATTAGTTTTGAAACAGGATCTCATGACCCCGGCTGACCTTGACCCTCACCTCCTAAGTGTTGGGAGCAGCGGTGTATTAGCCATGCCCAGCTAATTTAGAGTAATTTAGAGGATGGAGAAAAATCGCTTAGGTTGGTGCAGATGCTGCCAGGCGGCTGATGCATGAACCCAGGTGCTTGTATGGGGCACACAGCCATGGGGGCTTCCCAGAAGGACGTGGGACAACCTCTGGAGAGGAAGTACAAGTTGAAGCTATCTGCACAGAGCATTGACATGAACTACTTGTCACAGGCAGTGCTGCTTCTGGGCTGGGGACACAGCTCAGCTGGCAGAGGGATTGCCAGTGTACATGGAGTCCTGGGCTTGATGCCCTGTGACATCTTTATGTATGGTGAAGCACACCTGTAATCTCAGCGTGCAGAGACAGGAGGATCCCATGGCTCACTGGCCGGCCCTTCTAGACAGTTGGAGAGTTCTGGGCTCAATGGGAGGCCATGGTTTAAAAAGTGTAGAGCAATGGTTCTCAACCTTCCTAAGCTATGACCCTTTAATACAGTTCCTCATGTTGTGGTGACCCCAATCATAAAATGATTTTTGTTGTTACTTCATAACTGTAGTGTTGCTACTGTCATGAGTCACAATGTAAATGTTTTTGGAGGTGGACGTTAGCCAGCCAGGTAGCGGTCCACAGGTTGAGAACCACTGGTATAGAGCAATAAAGGAAGACTCCTGCTAGCCACCTCTGACCCCCACAAAAGTACACACACACACACACACACACACACACACACACACACACACACACACACACAGGCCCTCTGCTCCTGGGTAGACAGTGTATCATATCCTACAGAAACAATGTAATAAAATACTGACATAACTATTATTTCATGTAGGACTTTTACTTAGCTCTTCATTTCACATGTATTAATTTTTTCCAGAAAAAAAAAAGATGCTTTTAAGCAGAGAGCCAGGCAGCCAGGCATGGTGGTGCACATCTTTAATCCCAGCTGTAAGGGTGCAGAGGCAAGTGGGTCTCTGTGAGTTCAAGTACAGCCTGGTCTACATAGCAAGTTTCAGGACAGTGAGAGCTACATAGTGAGATCCTGTCTCAAATAATAATAATAATAAAGATTATTCAGAGAGACACCAGTTAGGAGTGAGGGGTAGCATATGCCTATCGTCTTTAGAAGCAGGAGGATCAAGAGTTCCAGGCCAGCCTTATCTATATAAGATTTTTGTTTCAGGGAAAAAAATGTAATTGGGTCAAGTTCTCAGTCCAAGTACATAAGAGAAACTCATTGTTATCAAGGCTCCACCGAAGGTCCCAGTAGAGCCCCTTTTCTCCTGTAGATAACCAACCCATCACTCCTCCATTGTGCGCCCTGTTTCCCACGGTCCACGAGGCAGCCAGGGCCACCAGCAGGAAGTATGTGTGGCACCAATGGGCGCCAGCCCTGGCATTCAGCTCGGGATCCCGGAGATAAGCAGCCACTAACCTCCGGCTCACTTTGCATCAGCACCACTCTTTTGAATGAAGGTTGGTTTTATTTTGTCTTCTTTAGGAAGGGAGGCAGGGCTGTGGTGCGGGTGCGGGGTGAGGGGACAGGGACACGGGGAAACGGAGCCACGGACACAGGGCAGTGGGGGCAACGCAGTGGGGGGGAGGCAGGGCAGTGGCGGGGGTGGGGGTGGAGGGGTGGGGAGACAGGGACGTGGGGACATGGGACCACAAACACAGGACCGTGGAGGGGAGCAGAAAAGGGGAAGAAAGATAAGATGTGGGAGTTACTTCAGCGCAGAGCTGAGAGTTACTATTTTCAAGAAGTATGAGAGATGAGCCTTTTCACTTTTTTTCTTTCTCTCTTTTGGGAAAGATCTTGCGCTCACTGTGTAGCTGAGGCAAAGGTTAAGTATGTGCCCCACCACCACGATCAGCTCTTCTTTGGTACTTAGTTTGTTGTTGTTGTTGTTGTTGTTGTTTTGTTTTGGCGAGGGAGTC